GACCACAGGTGTTGTTAGGGAGCAGGAAAAGTGGGCAAATTGTGACATACAGTATGCATCAGGATGCTGTCCTGCAAATTATGTAATTTATATATTTGAATCAAACAACATGATGCCAACTACATCAGAGGTTATATTCAGCAGTTCTGGAGAACTGGTAGCAGAAATTTTGAGTAGTTTGGAGGCCCGGCAAATACCACCTCTGAATGGCCTTCCCCCCATCTATTCTTTGCCTTCCGAGTCCCAGCTGATCTTTGGTTCCCCTGCACAGGAGAACGGAGCTGGAAAGCAGGTTAGTGGGGTGGGGAGGAAATGGGGATTTTGCAGTATCCTTCCCCCAGGACTGGAGAGAGAATGGAGATTTTACAGTATCCTTCCCCTGCCATGCCCACCAAGCCACGGCCACAAAACCATAGTAAAAAAAAGAATGAATCCCACCACTGAACTACATATGTTACTTGCTTGATGGTGTCATGAAGCACATGCTATTCTGGCATCGGTAGAGCTTGTAACAAATATTTATGAATAAGATTGCAATAAGAATACATTATGTTACTTTATAGTAGAGAAGTATATCTGCCCTGAATCCTTAGGAAGGTATGAGTCTGTACACATACTATTATTTACACCAGAGTGGGCATATGGAACACTAATGGTAGATCTCTGTGTTAGACAACAATGTCTATTTCAAGGTAAAAACTAAATTTCAGTATAGTAATGAAATGAAAAAGAGAAAAGTTTAGAGTCATGTGACACACTGATTTTTATTTATTTTTATTACATTTCCAATATAAAAAAAAAGTGACATCAATATACATTTAAAAGAAAACAGAAATATTGAAAAGAAGGGAAAAATTAAGCAACAGAACATGGGGGTTAGTGAATCATAAATGACCAGCAGATCGAAAATGTCACACAACAGATACTAATACACCATTACAACAAAAATGATTAAAATCCGTATGAAGAAAAAAAAAAGTAATATAAATACATAAAAGTACTGTAAATGTGTAAGCTGTGAGTCCATTTAAAATGTAAATTCTAAACTCAAATTTAGCATGTGATTCATTTCCATGTATAGAGTTATAATCCAAAAAAGTTTTCCAAGTAAGTGTAGATTGTAGAATGGCTGCATATGAAGAACAGTTGTAGGAACTGGGTATGTCTAGTTTAATGAAAATAAGGACTAAGGGTGACATGATAGTGATGTTCCAATATTCAGAGGCTGCCACAAAGAAGAGGGAGTCAACCTATTCTACTCTAGATTGTAGACTGAATACTATTTACTATTTAGATATGAAGTTATTCTAGACACGGAAACATAGCCCCACAATTTAATTAGCCATTCTTCCATAGAGGGGATTAAAAAAAAAATCCAATAAAAAGTGCACAAAATCCTTGCAGTTGTTATTATGTATGATGCCAGCTCAGTGTATTTCGAAGAAAAGTGGGGATTGGAGAAGTTTAGTAAAAATATCTTAGGTTACAATAGGATTACAATTTCAACATTTGTTCCATTCAACCATGAATTAATTTCCAATATGCCTGAGTTTTGTGACATTAAATTAATTAATATAGCCAGCCATCTCATATATGTGACTACGGGCAGTTTACGTATGTAGCAGACATATGGAAGAAGAATCTAATCTGTTGATTGCATTTCTAGCATTTTAGAGAAAAGGTAGTACTTATTTTATCAATAGTAACATATCAGTCATAAAACATTTTATACCAATGCTCTCTAAGTATAAAAGTTCCACGTGAACTGAATATTCTTGTTCCATTGAAATTGCCCCTGTACAATTTCCATCTCAGTATTTAAATTTAATCTTACAGTCTTAGATTTGTTCTCATCTGAATATATGATTTTGTATGTAGATGAGTTCCCTGGATGAAGGAACAGGAAGGGAAGGGCTACATTATCTGAAGTGAATCCAAAAACCAAAACTACTTTCAACTCCTTCCATGCATTAATATCTTAGGTTTTTTTCCTTTTTCAAATAATGCTTCAAATAAGTATCAAACATATACTTATACTGGGCAGAACTTAAAAAAAATCCTTATCTAAATCACATCTTGGAAAGGAAACCTCTGTTAACACAACCTAAAAACCTGCAGACACCCGTTATGTAAAAGTTCCAATACTTTCATGTACCTTCTACAAAGTTTTTTATTGCCTATCTATCTGTTTTTTATGGCTATATGAGCGATTGTCATGCATTAATGCCTGGAATATAATTATTATGAGAGAGAATGTCTCAAGGTACAAACCAGCTGAACTCAATTTGGCACTTGTTGCAAAAGAGCAGGCTAGCAATTGTAATTATATGAGTGGTTGTCACACATTAGTGCCTGAATATAGTTATTTATGAGAATGAGTGTCTTTACTCATGGTACAAAGAGCTGAACCCCACTCTAAAACACTGAGGTATTGAGTTGATCCTGCTCCCTTGGAGGAGGGAGGGGTGTCATATAACCAAAAGGTTGATGAAATACGTTGGATTGTGCCCACAGCAAAATGTATTCTCTCCTTAAGGGAAAAATGCTACTATAGCATTGGAAAAAGTCTGCAGAGATTCTCAGTCATCCAGGTCATGGTGCTTTTTCAGGAGGCAACTGGATTTTCTTGTTTTTTCTTTTGAAGACACTTCTTATCCAAGAAGCTTCCTCAGCTCTGACTGGATGGTGGGGAATGGAATTTATATTCCTTGCAGACAACTGGTCATTTGCATCCTTTTAGAGGGTCGTTGAGGCCACTTGGAGGTTTATCAATAACTGAGTAGTGCTCCTGGTTCCTGTAGTCTGCTATATTTTTCCTCTGGAAACTCATTCCTACTCCCTACTCTTTAGTATTGGAACAATGTACAGCCATTTTAACCTGTTTTGGTATGGGTTGGGGACATCATGAAGATCATGCTCCAGATATGGTAGAAAATAAAGGATATTAGGGCATTTTTGTGCCATCATTGAGTACCAAAAAGCCCTACTACTGACTCTATGTGTTGTGTGCGCATGTGTGTGTGTGTGTGCACATGTGCAGAATTTGGCCTCCCTCCTAATGCAGAAATGACTGGATTTCAGGGATTAGATAAATGCTGGAGCTACATTGGCCCAAGTAGTATAGTAAAGTATTGAATTTACTATTCTGTATCTCAATGCTCAGGTACTACACTGTGGAATTACTACTTTCCTACAACAGAATAGAAACCAGGTATTAAAATGGTACCAAACTCACTATTATTTTTGGTAGATCTTATAAGTCTACAAAAGGCTCTCCAGCTTTTCAGGTAGAAATCTTCCCTACTCTTGTTTTACTTCATTGTTTATCAGAACATACTCATAGCAATGCAACTTTTAAAGCATGACTCATGTAGTGCACCAAAAATAATTGAAGAATTGGTGATAGTGATAAGATCACTGTATGTTTCACACAGTTGGTAGTCTCCATGTGTCTGTCATGCCCCTGTCGGAATCTGACTCGGAGGAGGAAGCCGAACAGCTGACAGGGAGTGGGAGTGTGGCTCCGTTGGCTGTGGAAGAAACTGGGGAAAGGCAAAGTCTGGCTGGGCAGAGCCAGGGAGAGGTAGAGCAAGGCAGAGGGAATTCAGAGGAAGATCCAGGCCCACCCCCTCTTCATCCTAGGGCACGCAGGGAGGAATGGAGAAGGAAGCAATGTGAGTTTCGTGGCTTATGGAGGAGGAAAGGGCCCTGATTCCCTTTATTAGCTGCAGCTGGGAATACAGTGTTTAAAAAGGGAAGCTACACGCAGCAAGCTGTTGGGAGCAAATCGTGAATTTATCTGGTATCGTCATGGCTTATCTGTGTTCCTGGCGTCTTCCCAACTGTGTGTGTTTTGTTGGCCTTTGAAGTCTGTTTTTTCTCCAGCCAAAGGTAACTGGACATTGGGGGCAAAGTTTGAGGTATTAAAGGGACTTTTCTTACTTATGTGACTGTGTTGCCTTTGTGCCATGCCCCAGGTCAC